TGGAGGGCAGTAATGCCACAGTGTCTGTATTTGGATTCGAGTCCTGGGGTCACCTGTCCCCTCCTCCCCCCCAGGGCCATTGTCCCACTGCCCAGGGCTCCTCTTTTCACACATGTGTGTGGAGCGATCACTGTCCTCCTCCCTCCTACCAGCTGGTGCAGAAATTAGTCCTGGCCTTGAAAGAGGACAAGGGTGTGCGGGCAGCCCCGAGTCACAGTGCACTCGGAATGCGCTCAAGTCCTTCTGAGTCTGACGCCGGCCAAGGTACCCAGAGGCATGACCAAGACCCCCATCTAGAGGTCAGTGATGAAGCCTGCCCACCAGAGATTGATTTTGAGGCTCTTCATAGGCTCATCCAAACAGACACTTTCCTGTGCAGGCCCAAAGTCTTTGTTCCCTTTCAAGGACGTAGGAGGTCTCTCCATTCTGGGCCTGATGGCCCTCCCCTCTCCAGGGTCAAAGGTGCACTGGCCCTCTACTGGGATCCAAGGATGCGTCTGTTCTCAGAGAGGCCTCTACTGTTCGGGAGGCCCGAGGGCCCAGGGACATGTCCAGTGAGGACGAGGAGGAGCTCCCCAGCCTGACCTTCCTCTTCAGCTCTCTGCAGAGCCTGCTGCCTTGCTGGTTGTCCCAGAGTGCTGCCCATGCCTCAGGCCTGGCCTCTCCTGGAGGTTGGGGTCCCAGAGTGCTCCCCAGGCCCCCTCCCCTCAGAGAAAAGGCCTCAGCCCAGCTCCACCAGCCACTCCAAAGTCAAGGAAGCAGGCTCTGTGTGGACACCCAGCCACTGCTGAGAAACTACCCATCCCCGGGGCTGGCCTCGGGGTCTCTGGGAGGCCAGGCTTGGCTCTGGGGCTGGCTCGCCCCTCACAACCGAGAAAGAGAAAGCGTGACCCGTTTGTCACAGAGAAGAGTAGGAAGAGGAGAAGAAGCACTGCAGCCGGTAGGGAACAGCTGGGCCGGCCCTCCAGGGTGGCCCCGAGTGGAACCTAGGGGTCCCTCGTCCTCCCAGTGCTGATCCTGGATGATGTGGGGTGAAGGGAGGGAAGGCAAGACCACCAGGGCGGGGAGGGGGAGTGGGATTGTGGGGGGTTAGGGAGGTGGGGGAAGTGGGTGTGGCCAGGTGTGGGTGGGAGCAAGACCTTTGGAGTGATGTGTATAAATTGTGAATAAAGATAGTTTTGGTGGGAAATGCTCTCAGGCCACTGTCATCTTGTTCATGTTGAGCTGCTCCACAGAGAGCGATCCTGAGAGGAAGGAAGGATGAGGGAGGTCACAGGAGCTCTGGATCTACAGGTGGCCAAACCTTTCCTCCACATAGACAAGGACTCCTCAGGCTGCCCCTGGGAATGCACAGCTCTCACTTTCCCCAGGGACCCCCTCATCATCCCCTTCTCTAAAGCCTGCTTGGCTAGGGGCCTTCTGGGGCATCTGTACCATCTTCTGCATCCCTGAACCTTCTGGGGAGGCAGAGATGCTTTTGTGCCTTTCAGCCCTCTGGGCACTCACCAGTTTCTAGGATGGAGCCTGGAGACAGCCCTTGTCATTATGGAGTTTCTCTCTGCTTCCCTGAAGTGGCCAGGTGACGGCGCTGGGATGACCCTCAACTCATCCAGGGTTTCCTGTGTGGGTGGCCTGACCAGAGAGGAAAAGTCTTGGCCATGGGGACAGGACTGTCTGCCTCGTCGTAGCGGGGGCATCCTCTAGTCCCACTGGGATTATTGCAATATGGAGAGTGGTGGAGGCAGCTACCTCTTAATCCCAATGAGTATGCAACAAGGGGAATGGGTGCGGGGAAATTCATTGGGCACCCGTTAAAGGTGTGTCTAAGGGTAACGACAGTTGTGTCCCTTTGTGGAACTTGTGGGATTTCTGTGCAGCAGCATCTCGTTCAACTGAGGGAGGAGGACCAATCTGGCTGTGGCTGTGGGGACTGGCCTTAGGGGCCTATGGGTGTGCAAAGACACCCCAGAACTACTGTCTCTTCCCTTTCCACCCATGGCTGGACATGTGTGTGTATTGGTATCAACACTGGTTTGTATTCCCATATAAAACAGTTCCTCCTAACAAACTATGACCACATTTCACAAGAACAGCTTGCTCACAGAGGCAGCAGAGGTGGGGGAGAGGTGTGTGTGGCCCCAGATCTTGGTGGGAGCTGGGATCCATGCTGAGGAGTGTGGAGGCCTCAGTCACCGTCCTGTGGGTGCTGGCAGAGACTTCGAATCATCAGAGCAGGGGAAATGACCCACTCATAAGGGTGAGATGAGCAAAAAATGAGGGGTAGGGCGCCGACCCCTGCTCTCTCCCTGAAATGTCCCCACTTGCAGCCTGCTTAGCCCCCATCATGGCCTGTGCTGGCCCACCTCTGAAGCCCCTTGTTCTTAATGCACTCAGATGCTCTGATCCTTTGTGAACCCACCCTGGGCCTCACCCCCCCTTCCCTGCTGGCCAAAGCCTCTTTTCCTGCTTCTGAGTTCTGATTCCTTCCCCAGGACCCAGGCGGGGGTTGGGACAGCAGAGACTC